CTGCCATATGAATCACACAAGAAAGGTATATGAAAGAAACTGATAAATTCTCATGCATTATATATATGCAAAAGAGTATTATTAATAATTCTGAAGAGTGAGGACAGCCCTCCATTTTTATTCCTTAAAAAAACAAGAGTGAAATAATCATAATATTTCAGTTTATACATGGGGAGCCTAGAATGGCCTACTGAAAGTGCCCATCTAAAGTTTAAACACCATCCAGGTAACCAAAGAGAATTCTGGAAACCTATAATATGAGAGTTAGAAGGGCTCTTAAAAAGATTGTTCTGCTCTAAGCCCCTCATTTCATAGACGTAGAAATCAAGAGATTTCCCCAAGATCATCTGATAATTAGTGGTAACGTGTGGGCATTGAAATGCAGGTTCCTTGAACTCTCAAACCAAGGAGCTCACTCCAAACTACTGACAACCATGAAATATACCAGACTGCATCAGCCAGAGCTTCAGGGCTCCCTTGATAAATGTGCAGATTCCCAAAATGGGCATTACCCTGCCCCCTCCTGTTCATCAGGAATAGAAAGGACCACTATCTAACCTGCATCTAGGTATTTCCGACTATCTGGTAAGGCTAATAACTCCTCAGTCTCTTTTGACAGTGTCTGGATGTTCCAAAACCCTCCCCTCCAGGTACACTAAGGTGGAAAGAACCAGGAACCCCAAATGGCTTCATGGAGCAGAACCACTTTGCCAGCCTAGTCTACCTGACTGTTAGTTGAGAAGGAATAAAATGTCTGTATGTCTTGCTGGCATCATTTTTGAGTCTCTTTGGCTAATGAGGCTTTACCTTAAATACTATAATCTTGAAGTCAGAAGAGAAACTGGATGGATCATTTTCTAAAGACAGTCAATTCATTTACCTCTTCTATTCTTGGCCTAGGGTTCAAATCAACAGGACCCTCAGTTGAGAATAAACCACATATGTGACCCCAGAACATCAAAGGGAAGAACTTTCACTCTCAGTGCTAAAGAATAAAGCTGTCCACTTTTCAGTTTGAAGGTCATATGCATCCAATCTGTCCCAAACTGAAAAGATGAATAAAAAGAACAATAGCTCAAATTACCACTTCATAAGCAGCCAAACCTGTAGGCAGAACGCCCAGCTGGGCTTTCACAGCAGCAGTTCTTACCAAATGTGCCACCAAAGAGAAACATCTTACCCAGACAATTCCATTTTCTAACGGAGGTGCCTAGGCAAGGCAACCTTTGAGGTCATTCCTGGCACTGAGTCTGATTTCTAAACACATCTAAAACAGTCTGTTAGAAAGAAAAAGGAATGATATCTCGAAGAAATAAAAACATTCACTTAAAATGGAAAATGTTGGCTCTTGATGGAAAGTAACAAGTATTTTTTGACCGAATACTACACACATACCCACACACAAACACACACACAAGTGCATGCACACGCACACACCCCCTACCTTAATCCCTGCCGTAGCCAAAAATAGCCACAAACATCCACAATTTATTTCTCAACATTATTACTTTTGTTCTGGACACCTGAGGATTTTATCAGTATAAGGAAGAGAACCCAGTGAATGAAAGCTTCCAACTCAGAGTTTCCGTGAAAACTCGAGCTTGGGGAACTAGGTCAAACTGACCCTTCTCTGTTTAAAACAGTATAAACCTGATGTAATCACTGAAACAATCACAAAGAGGGAGCACAAATGTAAATGGCTCTCAAAAGGAAGTGTTCAAGTGTCCTAGACCCGTGTGCACCCAACGACTCAAAATGAGAACAGCTTGCCTCTCGAAAGTCCCTGAAAAGACCAAACATCCCCTCCCAAACTCCACCACCAAAATACTCCCTAACCACCCAGAAGCTAAAAAGGGGTAAATATAAATACGAGAGAACAAAAACAAACGTGAAAAATTTAAGACAAAAGTTGAAGAGAAGGTTTGAGAACTTGCCCAGGACGTAAATTTCTTATTGGTTGCCCAATTAACTCCACTGTTCAAAAGTAAGTGTGTCTTGAGCACAGTGGTCCTTGGGAGAGACCCCTGTCCTCACAAACTGACCAAGTACCGGGGAACACAGGCGGGGAGCAGTCGATGGAAAGCACCCAGGCCACTGACAGACCGAGAAGTGGGTATTCAGTGCCGGAACCTGGGGAGGGGCAGGGACGAGGGGCCACTGCAATCAGGGTGGTCAGGGGAGCTCTCCCTTGGGGAATGACTGTTGCGCTGAGACCCAGTAGGGAAGGAGGCAGCCCAGCAAAGAGCTAGGGGAAGAAGGTCTTGGTTTGTCAAGGACTGCCAGGCTGGGCAGAGTGAGAAGGTGCCCCAGTGGGTGGAGGATGCGATGTGAAGGTGGGTAGGGCTGCCATTCTGACCAGCCCAGCCCGGGTCTGTGAAAACACAGAGGGCGCTTCTGGCTTCTCTAAGGGCACACAGCCTCCCACCCAAATCATCCCATGGCACATTCCCTAAACTTGGGAAGGGGGATGGGGATGGGGCAAAAAAAAAGGTAGAGTATCCACTGAGGGTGGGGGGCAGGGGTGCTAGGGCCACCCCGTGGAGTCACTAGATTATCGTCTCTGTTCAGAAAAGACAACTAGACTCAGAAACGCTAAGGCACTCGCAGAGTGACAGCTCTTCCGCGGAAGAGCTAGGACTCAACCCGGAGTGTCTCACTGGTGCACTGGAGTCTTTCGTGCCGCTTTTTAACATAACAAAAGCACTTGGCACAGGTTATAATGCTATACTACTGAGACTCCCGCGGATCGTTTTTTTCCTTTATGATACTGACTGAAGCTCAAGTGACCTATTGATATACTCAGAATGTTTTCCCTTGCACAATTCCTATCACAATTAACTTATCTTCTTTATAAATTGATGTTAATTAGCACTTCAAAATGATCACTACATGCCCTTCTAAATATATCCTTCTAACAGTCAAAATACAGAAGCTCCAATGTCCAACAGGCTTATAAGTGACGGTAATACAGAACTACAACAAAGTGCTACTTAGCAATTTTAAGTGATGGGCATGTGGACGCCTCATACAGGGGAACATAATATCTACTGACATAAACTTAATTCAACATTTAACAGAAAAAGCAGAGCACAACATGGTGTGTACAAACTGGTTACAACTTTGTGACAAAGTACATATACTTATCAAAAAGATGAAAAATGTATTTTTATTAAAGTCATTTTCATTTAAAGCTCACATAAACTTATAAGGAATCTTTCCAAAAGAAAACAATGTTAAAGAAAAAAATGTCTTAAAAGGTAGACTTTTTTCTTTCTCAAACGTAATTTTTTTTTTGCTTTTTTTTAATAGGGGGAGGTAATTTATTATTTATTTTTTTAAACAGAGGTACTGAGGATTGAACCTGGGCACACGACATGCTCTACCACTGAGCTCTACCCTCCTCCCTCTTTTTTTTTTCTTTATTTAGGTATAGTTGATTTACAATGTTATGTTAGTTTCTGGTGTACAGCACAGTTCATTAGAACAAGCACTCATATTCTCTTCATCATTTGGAAATTTAAAAGTATAAATAGCATTAGAGAGTCTTCTAATTTTAATTTCATTCAGATACCTGAGGTTTGTATTACTGAGCATTTCAATACTGACCCAATGGAAAAAGACAGTGCAAAGATGACTCCTATAACCAAATAGTGTAAATGCTGAACACCATCAAAAATTTTTCTGCAGAGACCACAAACCTAGAACGTTGTTACCAAATGGACCCCAGGCACTTGTAACACAGGTCATAAAATTCATCCAAAGCCACATTTTCTCCTATCCTGCTCTCTAGCATTTCAAAATGCTGTACCAGTAATTTACTCCTTCCAGAAATACTAATGGAGTTTCACCAATTGTAATAATTAATGGATTTGTAAAGTGTTGCCTATGTTGTTCTGTGGGTCTGAAAACTCTTTAGTTTTTCAAGACCATCAACACAGTATTGGGCTCCATTATTCTGACTATATTCTAAAACGTGCTTCCTCTTGTATTTAAGAATTTAACGAGTTTTGTATATATTAGCCATCACCTAGCAAACAGTGGTCTATTTAAGATGAACTGTTAACTTATATATACAGAATGATTTCAGAATATTATTTAACTCTATTTCAAAATAAATGGGGAAAAATCGTAAGAAGAGATATTATACAGAAAAAAATTTTAAGCATACTTCAAATCAAATTTCCTAGGTCCTCTACGTCACCCTTGAAAGCTGACTATTCCATTGGCAATTGTCTATTTCTTATAGTATTTCCTGAATCAAAAGGACAAAAGAAATACACACAAAGGGTGAACTCTGGGATGTACTAAATCCATTGAATTGTCCACTTTAAAATGGTTAATTTTATATTATATGAACTTTACCTCAATAACTAAAAAAAGGCTAAAGTCACCAATATATGTCTCTATTACCATGAAAATATAATATAGGTATGATAAAGAGAGAATATAGAAAATCTAAGCAAGGAAATTCTGAGATTGTCCAACCAAAGCATTGTAACAATAAAAAAATTACACATTCATGATTTAATCTGAGATTTGCTTTGAAAGAATGTGGAGGGAAAGAGAATATGGTGGGTAGGAGGTAATGGGTGAGGGTCTAACTGGACAAGATTGGCTAAGAGTTGGTAACTGCTGAAGCTGGATGATTGGTACAGGGAGTTCATTATATTATTCCCTCCACATTCGTATATACTTAAAATAACCATAGGAAAATGTTTTTTGTTTTGTTTTGCTTTGCTCTGCTTTTGTAAAATGTTTACAATAGACCTGGAACTAGAAACACACATATAGCATTGATTATACCAGAAGCTTAAAGTGAATCAAAAATTATCATCTTACTTTTACTGTTATGAGAACATCTGACTTCGAACACTGTCTACTGTTAACTTCTTTTTTTTAGTGAACAAGGAAGCTTTAGTATTTCTTCAATGGTCTATTTCAACAGACTTCATAAATAGCACATCTTACAGAGGGTAACAATTTATAAGATCAGTACATACCAGGAGTATCATAGGCCGTTTCCAAGTTGTTAATCCTATGATTCCAGAGAGTATGACCTACAAGGATAAACAATATTATAAATCTAGAAAAGGGACCAATTCCAAGAAATGAATCCCCAGTTTCTAAAGTACATTTTTTTTAAATATTAAAACTTCAAAGCCTTCTAACTCAAACATTTCATATTCCTTCTGATCATATGAGCCCTAGTAGCCCATTTTGGAAATCCTTCATGTCCAAGCTCCCAAAACTTTTTTTACTGACTGTTTATGCTTTTTCTTAAGAACAATTAAGAACACACAAACAGAAATTAGCCTATCCTCTGGGTAGTGACGGAATCGGTGTTTCCCCTCCAGGCTCCCTGACCCTAGTGGTACCTCATCTGTCGCCAGAGTCAGTCTTGTAAGAAGCATGCCTGGCCGCAACGCTCCCATCATTAGGTGGGTACCCATCCTTCATGGGACAAGCAAACTCCTCAAAATGGTAAATAAAACCTTTTAAGATCTTCCTCTGTCCACTTCTCAAGCCTGATTTCCATGTGCCCTTGGCTCTCCCACCACATACCCCCCTTCCAGGCATACTCGTCCTTCCTTAGACTGGCCAGGCTTGGGACATTTCCAGGACTTCATGCTTCTCTTTGCCGCAGAGCCCTCTCCTCCCAACACCCCTCCTAGCACAGGACCTGAGAACTCCTATGCATTCTGCAAGGCCCCAACTCACAGTCTCCTCCTCTGAGAAGCCGGTAGTAATCCCAACCCCCCACACTCCTGGAAGTCCTTTGCATATAATTTTCCACCTTCAAAAAAATTCTTTTAGCATTTCTGTCCTGCCCACTAATTGTGAATTCCTATCTTATTTCTATGAATTCCCAGCTTCTAAAACAGTGCCTATCACATAATTGGCAACTAATTAATGTTCCTGAACATTTATTCCATAAAGGGGGAGGGATTACAGTGAGATATACCTCCACGCTGCAAAATGACTTTTCAATAAACAACCACCTAAAATCCTTGATAAAGAGGAACCAGCATTTTGCCAAAACGTAATCTGGAAATCACCATCAGCCATTTGAATAACACAGTTCACTAAGCAGCTGGGAAAGGATAAGCAGAGTAATTATTCAGCCCGGGGATGTTCTCACGCCCTTTGAGCACATTTATCTTTGCATATGTAATAAAGTGCATCTGCTGAAAGCAGTTAGGAGGATTTTCTTTCAAGTGCACTTTTTACCAAAATTGCTCAAATGCACCATTGCACAATAACTATTTATTAACTACAAATCAGTAAGGATTTTACAGTGCTACTTGAAATCCAAAGCTCACAGGCCTGCATGCAATACTCTCCATTCTCCACTTACTGACTGAGCATAATCATTTCACAACAAACCAGCAAGTCTACTCATTTATATCAAGGACCAAAAACCGGGTATGGGTAGATAGGTGACAATTTCTTGGTATCTATGTTTAGCCATATTATTAGCTGCCTGCCTGCCAGGCACTATATCCTTTTATCATCTTAAATTCAATAGGTTATTTCCTCACTCTAAACAATTTCTACCTGGAAACACACAGGGCAGGGGGGGTCGTCTACAGGGTGTGGGCTGCATCTACTTTATAAATTGGGACTTGGAATCCATGAGACTTTGGGGTCCAGGTTCCTTACTTGGCTTCTAAGTAACCATGTGACCTCAGCCAAGTCATCTCACTTCTCTGGTCCTCACTCTCATTTCCTTAAAAATTGTGGTAAGGGAAGGAAATCTTCTCTGAGTCTCTTCACTCAAAGGTTTACCTCACTGTGATGGAAACAATTCCTCAGAAAGCCTGTGATCCAGTGATGGCTCCACCCTGCAGACTGTGTGTGGGCATGCACGCTTGCACGTGTGTATGCGGGTGTATGTGTGCACGTAAGTCTCTGTGTGCATGCGCGTGTGTGTGCTCGCTCCCTGCCTGCCCACCCTGCTGCTTGCTGGACTTTGCTGAGGAAATGAAGCTATTTTTCTGAAAACATAAGTGAAAACTGGACTGCTTTTGAGAGAAACACAAATTGCCCATTTCACTAAAATATAAATATGAATTGAATAATCAGTTAGTGTTTGGTAATTATGTCACCAGTCTCCATTAATACAGACCCCTGTGTTTCAGCTTTTTGGAACACATTCTTTCCATTAAAACAATATTATTATTTAAGTGAGATGTCCAGCCCAGCCCATAAAAGCCCATAAAAATAGTGATACGCTTAAGCTACACTTCCCACCTCCTCCACCAGCCACAGCATCCCACCCTCCTCCATGCTAGCAACTATAACGTTTACATATTTTACCCATTTTTCTCTAAATTCTCTCTGGACACACATGATTATGTATATATATACATATATACAGGGGTGATTTTTATAAAAAATGGATCATAAAAGATACTTTTCCTCTTCTTTTTCTCTCTCAATAAATACGTTATGAAAATCACTCCATATTTACTGGACTAGCTCTCATTGGTTTCCATTTAATGGCTACATAATATTCCTTTGTGTGGCTAGCACCTAATGTATTCAATCATTTCCATATTCATGGGTATTCACTCTATTTCCATTTTTTTGTCCTCACAAACAATGCTGCAGTAAACATCATGGACACATATCCTTAAAAACAATGGCTTTTTATTTCTGTTGGATAAAGTCCTAGGAGTAGGGTTGCTAAGTTGAAAGGGGTACGTATGTAAATAAATAAAATATCTTAATAGACCATGACAGATACAATTATCATTTGAAATGATGTGTCTCTGGGACAAAAGAACTAAACTATCTTTTTTTTTTGAGTGGAGACTTTGCATATATGATCAACAAACTAAATTTAAAATATAATTTTAAAAATACGTACAAAATGTATTTGACAAATAAGAAGTATCAATACTCTCAAAATATATCTGACAAAGAAACTTACAAACTCATAGAGAGAAATATGAAGCTTACTGAGCAATATTAAATAAAGACCCAAATAAATCAAGACATACCACATTCATGGGTTGAAAGACAAAACACTTAAAGATTATCATTTCCATTTGAACTGTTTTGTAGACTCAGCACACACTCATATTAAATTTCAACAGGATTTTTGTAAGCCACCTCTCCTTATAAGGATGCTTCCAGAAACTACATTCTAGCTGTAGGTGGGAGGGGTAGTTACATCCACCTCAGTCCTGAACCCTGTAACAAAAGCACAGCTTCTACTCAATTTCTCCCACTCTTCAAGCTTAAGGAAGCCCGAACACACTCAGGGAACCCTGGGAGCAGGGAGGCAGGGAAGGGAAAGAGAGGGAGTAGGAAGGGATAGGTAGAAGCCTCTGGAATGTCGACCAGAAGTGCTGCAGTTGGGGATGTATCCTGTAAGAGCTCAAGTCTTAGGGAACCGAGGTTCACATTTTGGGGCTGGGGGGAAGGCTGGAATTCATGAATGGGAAGAGGGGTTGAGGAAGGGAGAAAAGAAGGAAGCAAAGTATTCAATGCCTCCACCTCCCTCAGTGGCAGCAGCAGCTGGAGCTCTATCAGAAGGGACACAAGAAGGTCCCTTCCCTCTAGCCTTTCATTACAGCACATGCTGTTACTGGGCAATTGTGTTTCACACTCCCTCTCAATCTCATGAGGGCTTGGATCTGTGAATATTTCCTCAAGTACCACTAAAGGCTCCTAAGAGGCACTCAGTTATTGCAAGAATTGATGAATGAATGAAGGTCAAAAACAGGAGCTGAACTTGCTCAAAGATGACCATGTAAGCCTAATCATATTTTTCACTCCTGTGCTTCTTGAAAGAGGGCATCAACAGCAAAAAGCTACTCCATCAGCATTCTTCCCACCCAGTGCAAGATGCAACCTGCTCTGAACAAACAGGCAAGAGCCCATTTTCTAACACCAAATTATCTCCATATTATTACAGTGAGACTTACTACAGTGTGGGATTCACTCACTTGTAACCCTTTTCTTGTAGCTTACAGAAAAAAGCAGAAGCCTTTCCTTTTTTTTCTGATATTGCAAAGAAGGATTCTAAGATACTCCAGGCAAGAATCATTATTACTCACCACATATGGTGAATGTGCCTTAACTTTCCAGCTTAAAAAGCAAATCATTAAAGTCAAAAACGTATAATTCTACTACCTTATTTTTTTTGTTAATCCATTTACATGCCTTAGGGCAAAAATATTCTGAACTGTTTGTCAAAAGTTGCTATATCTAAACACAGAGATAAAAAGAGCCATGTTATAAATGTCCCACGTTTACTTTGTAAATAAGCACACAATATTCAAACTTCTTAATAACCCATTTTGCCCTACAGATTTTACAGTGGAAATTTTTTTTAAAATGTGTGTGTGCATATGTCATTCTTCTTTATCTGTCCAGGGTAACTCAGTAAAAGAACTGATGAAATGGACAACTGGATATTTCTAATATATGCCTGTTGGTTAACACAATGTCCCACCAAAAAAACCCAAAAAGCAAACAAAAAGCCAACCTGTTCACCTTACTTTAATTAAATATTGCCTTTATGTTAAAAAAAAATTGATGGGAGTTCTATTATGTGCCGGGCCTGGTGCTCTGGCTCAGCAACGAAGCATTTTCCTAAATGTTCTCTAATTACAATCTCACAAAATCAATTCTGAGGCAAGAATCATCCCACCCATTTTACAGATGAGTAACTGAGGCTGAGAGGCTCAATGATTTGCTCAAAATCTTATCATGTGACTCTGCTGTTGGTGAAATAAAGGACTGAAGAAAACTAAATGTATCACAAAAATTGTATTTGAAATGCTTCTTCAATATCAAAGTAGTATTTGATCATTATGTTAGAAAAAAATGTATTTACTGTTATTTAACTGGTAGAGAAACTTTAAAATTTTTGTGTTAGTTTCCCCTTTGGGCCATTCATTCTTTTTTACAGTTTATCATTGTAACTTTTTTTTTAAAGATTTACCTTAAGGTTCACCAGTATCTGTCTCTTTATAAGGAACTGGCATCTTGCCAAAGATTCATAGACTCAAGGAAGGGGTGACCATGAGTTCAGGTCAGTGACTTC